TATGAATTGACTGATGATGTACCCTGTAAACTTTCACTCAATCCACAATAAAAACCTTAAATTAAAAAAACAAACAAACAAAAACTGCACTGTGGTGTTTACAGAGCTGCCAGGTAATGCACTCAACTCCAAGGTCAGGTTGAATGACAAGGTGGGAAGTTCAAACTCACAAGCTGCTCCCTGGAAACCCTATACAGGGTCACTATAAGTCGGAACTGACTCTCAACCACACTTAACAACAACAACAACCAAAATGCACATAAAGCATCAATTCCTCTGTGTTTCACACTTATATACACAAGACTTGTTAAAAGACATACATGCTATAAATTAGCATTATACTGCTTCATTGGCATTAGCAAATTTCTAAGCATGCAAAACATTAATAAGAAAAAATTTATAGAGATACCTGAATGTTTTCTGAGGAATCTTGCTAATTCTTTAATAGTTCTTACACAATCCAATCCCTGCAACAAAGGTGGCACAAAAACTGAATTCAAAATGGAAGACAGATTCTTGATCTGGTCACAGTTGCCATTATCTTCAGAAATCATAAAATTAATTTTAACTCATTCTACATACACTTTTCCAAACTAGGCAAACTAATTACTTTTAGAGGTGCAACAAAGACTGAAACGGGGCAGTAAATTTACGGGCCCAGGCCACCTGCAAAGTCTCAGAATGACAGGCAGGAACACCCATTCTTTTCTACTATGCAATGACATTACTCCTGAGTACCCAAGATGCCCACAGAAATACGAGGGGCTCCTCGGCTCCAGGTTATTTATTCCAAGCAGACTTTCCTTAGAGCTTAACGAAGAGCTATGAAGGATTGTGGAAAGTGATTAAGTGATTATGCTCACATTATTTTCCCATGGTGGTGGTGGTGGTGACGTCTTGTGGAGTTGGTTTTGACTCATAGCAACCCTGTACAGGGTTTCCGAGGCTGTAAATCTTTATGGGAACAGAAAGCCTCATCTTTCTCCCGCGAAAACAGCTGGTAGTTTTGAACTGCTGACCTTGCAGCCTGATTCATAACCACTATGCTACCAGAGCTCCTTTATTTCCCCATTGTTGTTGTTGTAATGTGCCATGGAATTGGTTCAGACTCATAGCGACCCTGTACAGGGTTTCCGAGGCTGTAGATCTTTACGGGAGCAGAAAGCCTCATCTTTCTCCTGTGGAACAGCTGGTAGTTTCGAACTGTTGACCCTGAGGTTCACAGCCCAATTCGTAACCACTATGCTACCAGAGCTCCTTTTATTTCCCCACAGGGCTAGCAAAAACTAAATGCACAAATCAAACTCATATAGAAATGATTACTATTTCAAAAGTTCACACCTAAATTTATTTTGATCGTTATATATATCCCAAGACATAAATAGAATTCTACTTAGGAAATGTCCTCAAAATTCATTTATAAGCTGTGTTTTAAAAAAAAAAAGCTTAAGAAGGTATGATAGGACATTCTATGTGCAGACTTATGCTTGCTTATCCATGTTATTCATAAAGTGTGGGCCAGGAAAGTTGTGGCTATTTGCCCAAGATACATCTTCATAAGACAAAGACTTAAAACTAAGAAGAGGTGTAAAAAAAAAAAAACAAAAAAAAACATCAACAGCAGCATCACTCTGGCATCTATTTATTATACTATCTGGGCTGTTATTAATGACCTCTGAGACTTTACACCTCCATACAGTACTTTATAAGGAGCTCTGATAGGGGTAGTGATTACGAGTTGGGCTACTAATCTCACGATCAGCAGTTCAATAACTACCAGCTGATCTGAGGGAGAAAGATGAGGCTTTCTGCTCCAGTAAATATTTACAGTCATGCAGGGTCACTATGAGTCAGAACCGACTCCATGGCACGTAACCACCACCACCACAGTACTTTGTTTTATAAGTGCTTTCATATACGTCAGGGGCTGTCAAAACTTTCCCTGTAAAGGGTCCGAGAGTAACTATTTTCAGCTCTGTGGGTTATATGGCTTCTGTTACGACTCATCTCTGCAGTTACAGAGCCAAGGTTGCCACAGACAACGTGCAAATGTGTAGGTACGGTTGTGCTCTGACAAAACTTCAGTTACAAAAACAGGCAGTGGGCTAAATTTTGGTCCAGAGTCCTAGTTTTCTGAATCCTGACACACATTATCCAAGGTAATGTACACAACCATTTCCTGAAGAATAGGAATTATTTCCAATGTACAGTAATCTACCCAAGACCACATATTTAGGCACCGACAAAACCAAGTCTGTCTCAAATCCAGCCTCAGGAGCAAGTGCTCCCATCATTGTACCACTCTGCCTTCTTGGTAAAAAGCATGACAGAACTCATGTGGGTGTGTTGGCCAAGTGCCTATGACAGTGACAGAAGTTGATTTGACAGAATTATTTTCAACTCTTTTTTGTACTACAGGTCGAAGAATTGGTGTGTGGTTCTGTACTGTAAGCGCTCCTTGGAAAACCAACATAAGAGTCACTATGAGTCAGAACTGACTTGATAGCCCTTAACAACTCCTCACATTTTCCTTAAAGCTTCTTAATGCATTTGGCCAGACAGATTGGTATGCCCTGAGAAATGTGGAAAGCACCAAGTTGAACTGTCTGTCAAGGCTATTCAACTCATGCTGCCACAGTACATGGATGTTTTATGTGGTCACTGTACCTCAGCAGTTTCGCGTCCATTAATTGTCATACACACATCAAGGTCACTGTGTTTGAACCCAAATCCATTTTTGGAGGAGCCAAACAAGCTCAATTTAGTTCCTGCATAGGGATATATGAAACATCAAAATTAATTACCTGAGTACATTCAATTTTCTAATCAAAATGGCTCTCTCATGAATCAAAAACACCCAGCTATTAACCTTTCCATTTTCATCCTACTGTTACAGTAGTGTCTTAGTACAATGTTTCTCTCAATGTATACTTTAAATAAACACAAGCTGTGTATTGCATGAAAGATAACCAGAAGCCACTTTAGTCTGAAATGCCAACATTTCAAGGAAATGCAAACTTGCTACTTTTTGAACAAGTGCACTCTTTGGAGCTGTGAACTTGGACTAAATAGAAGCCTAGGTAAAATTCACTAATAATCTGCTAATAAGATCTGTATTACATTGTTACCATAGTCTCTGTTGGTAAACAAGGCTTTAGCAGACCAAAGAGCATATTTACTACATCCAATCAACTGAAACCCCGCTTACACCTCAGGGAGTACGTATTTTGAAGAAACGGGTGTCACCTTTATTGTCTTAATAAAAAATTTTTTTAAAAAAGATTTACCTGGAAACTCTTGTCTTATGAAACTTTCTAGGTTTTGCCGAATATGTTCACGAGCCTGATCGTCTAAAATTGTTGGAGAAAAATCTTCTGTTTAAAATAAATAGACACATTTAGAATAAAAAAGGACTGTTGACATTCTTAGAAAAGGTGAAACAAAGTATCTTCTATAAAATAAACTTTTAACAACAACCCCTATATTTTGTGTGTCTTCTGAGTAGGTAATAATAGCACTGCAAAATAAAGACAGCTTTTTATCTCTTTTAAAAAAGAAAACTACACTTGAAATGGAAACTAAATGGACCAAGGTTCTGCACCTGGGTTTCAGAGAACCCCAAGGGTCTATAAAGGTGGTCTTCAGGGAACACCTCCGGGTATAAATACCAAAGTTGTGTGCATGTATATACAGTAAAACCTGTGAAAGTTACAACCTGTCTATAGTAGAAACATGCCAGAGAAGGAAATGCAAATAATTTCCACTAAAATAGTAAAGCTGTTAAGACTGTATCCTGTCAAAGGTGGAAAACCTGTGAGACCCAGACAAGCCAGAATTTCAGCTCTCATAGGGTTCACTATGTATTATGCTTTTGTCTAGACAGAACCCCCAGTACTTTTTATTCCCAACAGATCATAATCTCCACAATGTTTCTTTTGTTTAAATCACTGGTTCAAAACAAAGCATCTTCTGGTAAAGATGGACTTGTCAAAATGTAGTAATCGGATGCGTCACGTTCCTTTGAGCAACTGAATGGCTTTCTTTTAACTTCTGAACATTTTACTGTGGTTTGGGGATAAGTTCATAGAGTAAATCAGATCCCCATTTATCAATTTAGACCCATTTTGTTCTGTGACATGAGCTGAAATCCTCTCAGCGTAACCGCACTCATTCTACTTCCGCCCTCTTCCCCAATGCACATGTCTCTATTTTTTTTTTCCTTCCTCTGTAGAACTTTATACCAATGCTTTCCCAAATGGATCTTCCTTAAAAGGGTGTTATGTAGGTTATTAATCAGTTTTGATTAAAAGTATTCTATGTGCAAAATTTAGAAACAATGATTTAAAGAGTCAAGCAGAATTTTAAAACAGTACGTCTCAGAAGATTTTATTTTGTTAAGAGCTGTTGAGTTGGTTCTGACTCATAGTGACCCTGTACAAGGTTTCCAAACAGCAGCTGGTGGGTTTGAACTGACAACCATATGGTTAGCAGTCCAGCGCTTATCCTACAGCGCCATACCAGGACTTCATTTTGCTAATATGCCCAAGAAATCTCTAAGAGGCAGTGTGCAGAATTATTCCCTACTTGGCCTACTTGGCCTGTAAACTACTTCTTGTAATGAAATAGTATTAAATGCACTTAGGAAGAATCTCAAGGAACAAAAGCTGGGAAATACTAGTATTCAAACCTGGTGTGGCGCTATAGGATAAGCATTAGACTGCAAAGTCAGTTTGTACCTCAAGGAGACAGTTGAAACCCACCAGCTGCTCCTCAGAAACACTATACAGGGTTGTTATGAGTCAGAACCGACTTGACCGCACTTAACAACAACCTTAAAGGAATCCTCCCTGTCTCCTTTCCTTGACAACTGTCAAGGCCTTAAGAGGGGTTACAGGATAGTAAACCACTTACTAAAACACTGGAAACAAACTTGATCTAAGATACTTGTAAATTTGGGTGTTAATGGGGGCAAAGGCTCCAGCTGGATTCTCTTGAAGTCTTCAGGACAGTCCTTCTTTAGATGACCCTCTCGTTTGCAAAAGCTGCATACCACTGTAGGAGACTGCAGGAACATGGAAAAGCAAAACAAAGACTTAAGCCTAATGTTGCAAAGCAAAGCGATTTTAAAGTCTATTTTCTATTTCCCCTAATATTGAAAATAGTAATGTGTCGCTACTGTAAACTACCTAAGAGTGGGGAACACTCATAAGGTACACCCAAGAGTTTTATCTCTGTCTTCACTGCCAACAGCATTGCTTTCCTTTCTCTTATGCAAACTCCCAAGAGTTGTCTGAAGTAGGGAAGTGTACAAATAGCTGTATTACAATGAAACATCTGACTGTTAATCACTACCAAAAAAAAAAAAAGCCTTGCTCTAGTATTGAGAACTGAAATGCCATGCATTAAAGTGTCCTAGCTCTCAGACTAACAGTGGCACTGATTACCTTGCCTTTGGTGAAGATGACTTTACTGAATTCATAGAAGAGATCAGACTGGTCCTCAGCTGAATTTTCCTCACATACATTTTCTTCCTTAAGGCTTATTTTATTCAGTTCCACTAGTAGAGTGCCATCTGCACATTCTTTCAAGTCTTCGTACTTGGTAGACTCGCCCAATTCCTCATCCTCTTCAGACAAGGCATCCTCCTCCCCTGATCCAGTGCAGGCATTGTCTAATTCATCTTCATTGGCAATGCCTTCCTCATCTTCCCTTTGGTTAATGGTGAGCCTGGGCTCTTCTTCCTCCTCCTCTTCTTCCTCCTCCTCTTCATCAGAGTGAATGGTTTCTGATGTGTGGCTCTTTTCTGAAGGAGCAAAGCGGTTTAGGGAGTCTTCCAGTTCATCTGTACCTTCTAGGCTTTCTTCATCAACATCAGCTTTGACAACCATAGTAACAAATCCATCACAGCCTCGGACTGTAAGATTTCGGTAACCCTCCAAATCCAAAGTCCTGTCATTCTTGTTAGGTGTGCTGTCATAGCTGGCCACTTCTCCATGTCTGTCACTGTGTAAGTCTTGATCATGAGCCGTCACATGTTGCGGGTCCTCTGTCCCAAGTTTTAACTTCTCATTTTCCCCTTCTGCTACTTGATGGTACACAGTAACATCCTCAGCATCATCACCACTGCCTTCTGCCTTGACAGAGTCTGGGCTTTTCTGATGCAGACTGGTGTTTCCCATTTCCCCTGCTAGTGGGTCTCTGGGGTGATCGGCAGTCTGTTTAAGAGCGAGTGGCTGGACTTTGTGGGTGTTCGCAGTTGGAGCAATAGCACCAGAACCCTGAGTCAAAATGGAGTCATTAAGGCTGTCATGGTGCACAGCTGGGTCAGGATTTATTACTTCTTTAGAATGTTCTGAAGTACCTGGGACTACAGTCACAGGCTTTGGAAGGTTGGATTTTGTCGTTTTGTGTGGAAGAGCAAAGTATTTATATGTTGTTCTTAAACAATGAAGTATATACTCAAACAGGGGTTGACTATTTAGGGTCCTTGCCACATTCCTTTTAACAGAGTACGGATCTGAAACAAAATAAAAGCCACCATATCAGACATGTGCATTCTGCGTTTTAAAAATTAACTGGCCATAGGTTAAATCAGATAGTTAATCAACAATATAACTGATCATGTACTGTATTTACAGCTTTAAAGACAATAGTCAGGGATGGGGAGCAAGCATCAATGGTTGAAGAATACAATGTAGACATGTTTTCTAAAGTATCTTCTCTGCGAAGAGAGCCCGTTCTGCTCAGAACCAGTACCCCTTTCCCTATTTTGCTCTGTGACTCTGGAGGTAGGACCGATGGCACCAGCCTTGCTCTTGTGCCCTCGGGAAGGAAGGTCTTCCCGACAGGCACCACTGAGGGCTCTGCCTCCCCACGCAGCCAGGCCCTGTGCTTTGTAGAGCTTACCTCCACTCTTCTGCCCTGGGGAGCCCCATCACTGAATTGGCTGGACTGACTTTCAGGGGCCAGAGGGAGGCACCGGGAGGAGACACCACTTCTCTCAATCTTTTCTCCTCCCCTAGAACTCCAGCAGGTTAGGCAATTGGCCAGAAGAGCTGAGCCAGAGAAACTGCAGGGGAGGGTTTAAACATGTGAGATCCCCGTGACGGCACATAGAATTTATGCAAAATGCAAAAAAAAAAAAAAAAAAAAACCACCAAAAAAAAAACCCCTCTCTTATGCAACAGAAACGCTTGGAAAAAAAAAAAAAAAAAATCAAGCAAACGTAAGAGATTCCCATTGAAGGAGGAGAATTAGATTTGTAGAGGGGTTTCAACCTCCTGACTGTGAAAAGCCGAGAAGAGTTAGTCCTGTCATGGAAGTCTACAGAGCTCATGACTGTGTGTTTTACACAGTGGTCTCCGTGAAACAAGCCTTCTTCACTAGGGAGGTGTTTCCATGAATATGAGCTGCACGTTACTGTGGGCCTTTCAACAAATACCTGTTCTTTGCCTTTATGGAGAAGAATCCAGCTAAGTGCAAAGCTTAGATAGCCTGGTAATTGTAAGTATTTTTCAGAATATTTACCTCATCATTGCAAAACTAAACAACATCAACAACCATTCCAAGAAAGCACTGAATTTAAAATCCAAAAGTGAGAACAGTAAAGAGGAAAGGGGATCCACACATCACTTGGTGAAAATACGTGGCCATGTTTACGTTAAGAGATTTACAAAGAAAGTAGGACTCAGCCAGCCATGATTCTAATTGCTTACGTAATTAAGATGTTTTATTGAGGCATTTAAAAAACACAGGATGAAATGTTTGGATCTTGGAGTGATCCACTGTAACACATGAAAGTTTCTGACTATTTATGTCACCTTTGAGACCAGGCCTACCTTACATGTAGGAGCTGAAAAGAGACTGAAATAAAAGGCATGCTGTTAGACTGGTACCTTTAAAACTAAACAAGTAAAGGAGGTCAAGGCAGACATTCTGAGATACCTTCAATGGCAATGCGCTTTTTGGGCCAGTCCTTTGATTCACGAGACACAGATTCTTTGACACGTATACTTATCACTAAATCAGCCAAATTAAATTCTAAATCATAGAATCGAAGCAATTCCACCCAGAGCTGGCCAATTGGTACTGAAGGCTGGTGCTTTAAGTCAAATATTAATGGTACCTATTAATAGCAAAGAGAAAACATACAGGTTATCTCAGATGTCAGCACAATCTGAAGAACTAAAGATGAGTCAAGCATCAAATTTAAAAATCTGAAACCCACAGCAAAGACCAGATAAATCAAATTCTGGGTTCTGTTTTGCTTGCTGGTAAAACAGTATTACTCCACTGCACCCTTGGGAAGACAGTATTTTGAAAACACAGTCATTGTCATAGGGGTAGACAAGACCAGTTTCATTACACCAGAGACCTTTTCCTATCATTTTGAAATAGTAAACATGGGAGAAAGGACTGTGTGTGGGCTGCTACTACTCTCCGTAGTGAACTTTCCTGTTACTGCTGTACATTTAACAGTTATAGACACAGAACTGGACAGCAGCTAGAGGCACAGAGGGAAAGGGGCACCCACCTCTCATTTGCCCTGAGAAGCTACATAAACACACTGAATCTGCTAGTGGCCAATCATTTTAATGCTGAGTAACAACAGCTGGTATTAGAGACAGACACTGGTCTAGGTTAGTTGAACTGGTACGGCCGTATCGTATAGTACAGTCATTTGACTCTTACAGTCCTACACCTTATTAAGTTGGACTATTCCATGCGGTACCATATTGGAAAGTGTATAGGACTTAAAATAGGGCAAAACTGGGTCCAAATACTGATTCTGCCACTTGACAGTGAACTAGTTTCATCATTCTCAGATGAGAAGTGTATAGCACAGTAGCTCCAAGACCTGGCTCTGGAATGGACAACCTTAGGTTTGAAATTCAACTAGCTGTGTATGATCTTGGTCAAAGTATCGAAACTGTCTAAAACTTGGTTTCCTCATCTGAAAAATGGGATAACAGTACCCACCTCATAGGGTTGTTGGGAGGACTGAATGAGATAGTGCCTGTAAAGGCCTTAGCACAGTGCCTGGCACACAGTGTTCAAAAAATGGTCGCTATCATTATCTGCAGAGTAGGGCTGATACCACCTACAACACAGGATAGTTATGAGGATTAAGTCAGAAACAAGGGAAAGCATCTGCCAGACTTGGTTCGCGTATTTTTTCACTTAAGTCTTTTTACATACAAAAAAATCCATATACCCTAGATGCCTGATGTCAGAACTGTAAGATGCTCTTATGCGGTGCTCTAGTTCAACTCCCTTACTTACAAAGAGAGGGAGTTGAAGGCCACTGAGTTCAGATGGCCCATCAGAAGACGACACTGCTGGTCAGTGGCGGGAGGAGAACATCCCCTGATCCCAGAACAGTGCTCTTCACCACACCATATAAGCTCATCAAAGTCTAGATCACTCTTGATTACTCCTCCAAACAGCACAAAATACAAAAATATTTCATTGGATTTAGAGCAAGTTTTGCTTTCACATTATCCCTATAATTTTTCCCCTCTAGGGTCACTATGAGTCAGAACTGACTCCACGGCACTTAACAACAAGTGACATAAATTATTTATAACCTCACTTTATAATAACAAGCTTCAAAATTAGAGGCTGGGTATTTTACTAACCACTGAATATCAACCTCAGAGGTTCTGTCAAATAAGACAGAGTGATCTGATGCAATTACAGAGCAGAAGTGACTGAAATGGAAGGTGCTCAGGTCCTACACACTGCGGATGAGGACACAAAGGAAGCCTCCAGAAACTGAAAGCCTAATGCAAGTTTTCTCTCTTCATCCACAACCTCTTCCAGAATTACAATGTGATTTTAAAGCATCTCAGTGAAAAAACTTGGCAACACCGTAACATCAACTAAAGAAACATTGCATACTGGTACATCGCTTATTTTAAAAATGTATTTAAGTAAAGAACACTTTCTTGGAATAAATAAATAAGCATAACAGCTAACATTTACTAAGTGCTTACCATACGCTTGGCACTGAGCCAAGCAGTCTATAAATCAGTGACCCTGTGTGTCCTGGTATGGTGTTATGGGATAAGCACTGGACTGCTAACTACAAGGTTGGTGGTTAAAACCCACCAGCTGCTCCTTGGAAACCCTATAAAGGGTTGCTGTGAGTCAGAACCGACTCGATGGCACTTAACAACAACATGAGAGGGTACCGATGTTATCCCCATTTATAGATGAGGAAACTGGGTCAGAGAAAGGTTAAGTTGTCATAAGACAAGCTAGGAAGTGGGGGGCTTGGGTACAAATACCTGTATTCTGACTCCATCACCTGTACTATTACACAGTACTAGAACCCCAAAATAGATCATCAAATAAAAGCTGTTCTGGTGGCTTCTGGAGTAGGGTGGTACCATCTCCCTCCTCTCCCTTATCCTCAAGGATTCTAGAAAACACAACTGAAAGCAAAACCTATGACTTACCATAATTTCAACTTAGGTGTGAGTAAACTATGGATTAAGGAGCCCTGGTATTGTAGTGGGTCACAGGTTGGGCTGCTAATCTAACAGCCACTCCATGGAAGAAAGAGGAAGTTCTTTGCTCCTGTAAAGATTTACAGCCTCAGAAACTCTATACAGGGCAGCTATGATTGGAACTGACTCTATGCAGCAGCAGCAGTAGCAGCAGCAACAAAACTATGGATTAGACTTGTTTGTGAATCTCGGTCTCCAAAGTATTTTATTGGTAGTACCGTCATTTCACAGTCCTGCTGTGGCGCTGTGGGTTAATGCGCCAGCCTGCAAAGCCATTTGAACTGCAAGGTCGGCGGTTCAAGCTCACCAGCTGCTCCTCAGAAACCCTATACAGACAGGGTCGCTATGGGTCGGGATAGACTAATGGCACTTAACAACAACTGTCATTTCACCCCAAAGGGTCAAGGGTGAGAGACCATTGACAATTCACAAATTTAGGGCAGAATTCTATTATTACCAGTCTAATTACAATGCTAGATTTCCATTTGAAAGTCAATTGGCAATTCTTTCTTTGTTCATAAATAAATTCTGAACCCAAGGGTCAGGTTGAAGACAACTACATAGAGCCCTACACTGTCTCACTGTTGCTTTGTAATTTGAGGTTAATTGACTTTTCATAGATATAAACTTCACGGAATCATCTAAGATCGAAGCTTTTTGAAGAAAGGGTTTATCTTTGAATTCGTGCAAAAGGAACCACAAAAACATTTGTGGATTTAACCATCTGAACTTCACCTTCTTTCACTTCTTATATATTCAAGGCACACTAAGATATGAAAATTGCCAAGAAATAGTTACAATAGTTACACAAAGAGTAAAACTGATGAACTTATCAATATTTGTAGTAATGAACATCTGAATTAGAAACAGGTGATAAGACCAGAAACACGAGTACGCACCTGTCCCTTTCTAACTGGCACATCTCTGGGTAGCGAGTCTTCTTTGGTTGGGTCTGTGTCCCCTGTGGCAGCATCAGCATATTCCCACACTACTGAATCTTCTGTAACATCTTTAAGATTGAAGTTCCCTAGTTTGTTTAATGAAAACCCTTCAATCTAGGAAAAAAGCAAAGACAGTCATAAGGTAAAAACAATTTTACATCATATCAAAACTTAATAATGTTGGAATGAATTACTGAAAAGACAACATACTCGAGTTCACTGAAAATACACAAGATATAATTTATGGAATTCATCTGAGACATTGCTAATTTTTTTTTTTTTTTAAAGTGAAAAAAACAAAGTTGTGCTTTGCTAAAATAGTCACGACTGTGAAATCATTCTTTAGTAAATATTCTAAAAGAGGCAAGATGGCCTAGTGGCTAAGGCCATAGGTTCTGTAATAAAACTTAGTCCAAACTCACCAGCAATCCTGGGAAAGTCTACACGGGGTCACTATGAGTCGCAATAGACTCGACAGCACTTCATAACAACAGCCCAAACCTTAGTGCCCTCAAGTACCAGCTGTCTGACCTCAGGAAAGGTGCTTATTTCCTCAGATTCCTGTAAAAATGACTAAAACTAAAACTTTCTTCATGGGACAGCTATGAGAACAAGAAATATAAGGACAGAAAGCACTCAGATACGGAATCTAACACGAAGTAAATGCTCAAGAAGATGCTTAATTTAATAGTTAATTATGGGTAAAAAGGAAATTTCAAAAGCATATTCTGCAAGCAATTAATAGATGTTAATGCAAAAGAAAGTGATTTGAGCTTACAAGGTCTGAGAAGTGTTTTTAAAAAAAAGTTGAACAGATTTCTTTATTGTACAACAGAATTTTTATCAGTTTTTAAACAGACTCACGTATATAATGAATTGGAGGTGGGGGGGTTTATATAGGACCCACCCCACCTCCCAAATGCATAACCACAAAAAATGTAGTACAGTACTTTGTGGGTGTAGCAGACTGAGTAAACTTTCTAGAAGATTCCATGTTGCTCCCTTGCTTTGCTGTTTGCAGGGTCTGGAAAGGCTCTCTGGCCCTTTCCTTCTGATTCAGTTTGGATTTTCCTGGTGTGGTGCTATGGGTTAAAGCATCAGACTGCAAAGCCATTTGAACTGCTAGGTCGGCAGTTTAAGCTCACCAGCTGCTCCTCGGAAACCCTATACAGGGTCGCTATGGGTCGGACTAACTTGTGCTATTCCCTCTGCTTGGAGTGGTCTTCCCCCAACAATTGTGTGGCTCACTTTTCCTCACTTCCTTCAGGATCTGTTCAAATGTCTCTTTCTCTAAATCAGCTTCCTCCCTTTTCATTTTCTGTCCTTCTTGCTCATGTTTACTTTGTCTCAGAGAAATGACCGCTACTGGACAGGTATTTACTTGTGTTTGTTTCTTTCTCTCACCACTTGTATATATGAGAGAGCTTCAAAAAGAAAACTGGATGATTAGAATGAAAATATCATGGAAATTTCCATAAACTTTTGAAACCCCCTCTAGGATGTAACTTATTCTACTTTAGTCTGTATTCCTAGGGCCTGCCAAATAAAGGCCCCTGCTTAATTCTCAGTTCATTAAGTATAAAGAAAAATCCTCAGTAACCATGTTTTCCTGGCATGCACACAGAGTTACAAACTACTGCTCCATAACATATATTTTTCTTGAATGAGAGAAACTTATGCACAGTAAGAAGAAATGTCTAAATAGATGATGTGCTAAACGTGAGATTTTTTTTAAAAAAAACTGTACATAGAAGATTATAGTACGGCTAGGATTATAAATGAGGTTCCTAAGAGATTGGACATAATTTTGACTCTTTGAGACTGTTTCTTCTTATGGTTTTCTAAAGTGTACATAAAAGATGATATTAAAGTTGGATTAAAAATGAGCTTTCTAGGAGATTGAACATAATGTTGATTTTCTGAGGCTATTCCTTCTTAAATCTTACTATTTCATTCTTTGAGTGAGACACTTTTCTAATTTGTCTAAAAAGAAACAGGGTCATATTGTTGAAGTTTAATTCTTCTTGTTGTTATGCTGTGGAGTAAGTTCCAACTCATAGCAAACCAATACAAAATCTCCGAGGCTTTAAATCTTTGCAGGAGCAGAAAACCTCATCATTCTCCCATAATTCTTCTAAAAGATCATCAAACCAATTGCTGTCAGGTTGATTCTGACTCACAGAGACTCTGGAGGGTGGAGTGTTTAACTCTCCCAACCTGGTAGCTCCAAGTCTGTCCACTTGACAGAAGCAGACCGCCACATTTTTCTCACTCTGAGCAGCTCGTGGGTTTGAACTGCTTATTTTTTGGTTAGCAATCAAGTGCTTGACCACTGCACCACCACGGCTACTCTTAGAGACAAGGCCCAATATTATTCAAGAGTCAACTATGAAGCTTGACATCTGTGGTACAGGTAACAATCTCAGTGGTCAGATTGTCTCTCAGTTTTCTGGGTATAAGAAATACAGAAAAATAAAAGATTAGAAATAGAAAGCTATAGTGAATTAAATGTTTCCTACAGTTTGTTTGGAGTCCTGGTATGTATGGTGTTGTGGGTTAATGATCCAGACTGCAAAGCCGTTTCAACTGTAAGGTTGGCAGTTCAATCTCACCAGAAGCTCCTTGGATACCCTTTACAGGGTTGCTATGGGTTGGAACTGACTCAACAGCACTTAACAACAACAACAACAACTGTTTGTTTGGAGGTGATATGTACATTCAAGTATCAAATTAGAAACTGTACCCGAGAAATTCTACCAGATGATAAATTTAACAGAGACTCACAGTTTTTTACCTGAAACCCTCAGGACCACATACATTTCAAAAACTCAAATACATGGATTTTAGAGAGGCAGAATTATCCCTAGCAGGTTATGACACAGCATCTTGTAATCACACGCGTTAATACTTCAGCTGTGAAACATGTAACTATTCATTAGTAGAAGAAGTAAACTCATGTCAGTTCTGCTTAGGCTTTTAGATTTAAAAATTATGCATAAGGCTTTGTTGTTGTTGTTGTTATGTGCCATGGAGTCGGTTCCGACTCATAGCGACCCTGCACAGGGTTTCCGAGGCTGTTAATCTTTACGGGAGCAGAACGCCTCATCTTTCTCCCGTGGAACTGCTGGTAGTTTCGAACTGCTGACCTTACGGTTCGCAGCCCGATTCGTAACCACTACGCTACCAAGGCTTTAGGCCTGTAATAAAATCACTATGAGCTATATAAACAAAAAAGCTTTATACCCATGATCCTAGGTACACTGGCAGAAGGGGCTCTTTCCTCTGCTGAAGAAAGAAAATGGCCATCAGGGCAAACACATAAGCGGGCAAGCCACCTTCTTCAGGACGATCAATACTGCAAAGCTACGAAGGAGAGAAAATAAGAAAAGATTAGTCATTTACTTTATTCTGATGTCGGACTTGATTTGGAGGCTGTTGTGTTTTTCATTTGTTAATGAGCAGTGCTATGAGAAGGTTTCATGCTTTACCTCTCAAACTTTAGCTACGGCCAAGAATCAATCTTGAGAAATTTGGGTCAGATCCCTGAGATTTGGCCCAGAAATAGGATTCCTAATATGGCGCTGTTTAATGTGCTACACTGCAAGGTCGGTCTAAACCCCAAAGTTGGCGGGTCAAGCTCACCAGCAGCTCCTTGATAACCCTACACACGGTCTCTATGAGTCGAAAATAACTCACCAGCACTTAACAACAACAACAGCACCAACATATCGTCTAGAGTTCTAGTGTGGTGCCGCAGGAAAAGTACTAGACTGCTAGCCACAAGATTGGTGGTTCAAACCCACCAGCCACTCCTTGGAACCCATATGCAGGGATGCTAAGAGTCAGAACTAACTGCAGAGTACTTAACAACAATATATCATTTGGGATCCTGTTGTAGTGCTTTAGGATAAGCACTGGACTGCTAACCACAAGTTTAGCAGTTAAAACCCACCAGCCACTCCTTAGAAACCCATACAGGGTTGATATGAGTCAGAACTGACTTGAAGCACTGAACCACAACAATACATCATGCTGAGCTCTTGAAGAATATTGCAACAGTGAAATGGAAACACTGACTTTTCCTTTCTTCAAACCTTAAAATGTCTACTGTATTACTCAGACACATACTTTCAGCGGTTACAAAATGGCAACAAACATGTAGTGAAATGAACTGACTAAAAATCAGAGCACACTGCTGATGCAGACACAGAATGCACTAACACATTTGAAGAAGACAAACCTACCTTTGCCCAGTACCTAAACGCAATCACCAAAGACACCAGTTTTGGTTCCAATTTTCCGAGAGCAGTTAAATGATTTGTCGTCAGACAAGCATTTTCATTTCCTGCACTCACTTTACAAAGCAGACCACTGTTGGGGGCAGGAGGAAGAGGAGATGGGAAGGAAAAAGAGAAAGAAAGAAGTATCACACAGGTATACTTAAATAACAATTGAGTTTTACACTATCCATAAAATACTTTAATGGAAGCTATTTTTTGAGTAAGCCTCAATATTTTTAAAAAGGAAATTCTGAGTTTTTATACATTAAAGGCATTTTAGAGGGGCAGTGCAGATAAGGAAAACATTGTAAAATGTTTCAAAGTGTGTAACCTTAAGTGAGAGTTTTCCCAAGAGTAGGAGGACTCTGCATAATGAGGAATCATTAAAAGTAAGCCAACAGTCAGTGCCCAGGTAAGGGGTCCAGGTGGAGGGAGGACTACACGGCTAAGTCACATGGTACTCAGCACTGCCACAAATGCTGCTAAAGAGGATGGCGAATAAATACGACTAGAGTCAATGACCATATCAGAAGGCAGATATGGGTCAAAATGCTTTGTTTCTTTCCTTTTAAATAACTTTTTGAAGGAAAAAAAGCATTCTTTTCCCTCTTGCCTCAAATGCTAAAAGTATAAGAACAGTGCTAGTAATAAGCATATGAAATAACCAGGTAAAGAATTGATAATTCAGGAACTGTACATTTAAGCTCTATCAAAGTACACACAGAGACCCCATAAGATAAGCACTGGACTGTGAACCATAAGATCGGCAGTGTGAGCCCATCAGGTACTTTTTGGGAGAAAGATAAGGCTTTCTGATCCCGTGAAGATTTATAGCCTCGACAACCCTAAACAGGGTTACTATGAGTTGTAACGGATTTGATGGCACTTAACAACCACCACCACAAAACATATGTGGCTTTTGTTAAGCTAACATTTAATGTGTAAACAGCTTCAAGCAGTGAGACCTTTGCTTTTCCCGGCACACCACCACAGGCACTCTCGCATGGAAATCCGCATCAATGTCAGTAAAAGAATCTGAGAAAAAAGAAGAAAAGATTAAGTAGGTTAACCAAGACTTTGTTTAAAATCATAGTAAGATATAGTACAAGTGTCAGGTAAATAAAAATTCCTATCTTCAAGAACTGAGTGATAAAATTAATTAAAAACCCTTTCACAAAGCTAATGTTTGTTTAGAAATGATGATAAAATGAAATCAGATTATTTAAATGTTATGCAGATAAGAGAATTAGAAATATGAATAGAACATTTAAAACAAAAATGTTAGAAAAGCTGCTAAAACATTCACGGTCAAATGTGCATTGACTTAAGTAAAAAGAAAATTTTAAATGTTTTATTCAACTCAAACAAAAAGGCTGGGAAAGAGTAATTCAAGGGGTAAGACAGTTTTTTAGGAGGCCTATGTGGTGCTGTAGGTAAGCACTGGACAGCAAGAGCTGCTTGAACAAGGTTGGCGGTTCAAATACACCAGCCACTCCTAGGAAATGTGATGCATGGTCATTACGAGTTTGAACCAACTTGACAACACTTAGCAACAGCAACATGTAAACCGTAATAGCCATGGTGGCACAGTGGTTAAGTGCTTGGCTGTGAACTGGAAGGTCAGCAACTTACCAAAAAAAACCAAACTCACGCCATGGAGTCAATTCCAATTCAAAGTTGTAAATCTTTATGGGAACAGAAAACTTTATCTTTCTTCTCTTGGAGTGACTGGAGGATTTGAACTCCAACCTTATCATTAGCAGTCTAGTGCTTACCCTACAGCACCACACCAGGACTCTTCTGTAAAGACTGCTGTTGCTGTTACGTGTCACGGAGTCAGTTCTGACTCACAGCAATCCTGTACAAGGTTTCCAAGGAGCAGCTGGTTAAGTCTAAACCACTGACCTTTTGGTTAGTCCAGTGCTTATTCTACAGTGCCACACCAGAACTTCTAAGGAATCCCATGGGGCAGTTCTACTCTATGTTATAGGGTTGCTCTGGGTCAGAAGTGACTTGATGGCAAAAGGATTTGGGGTATAAACCATATGAAAGTACAAAGCCCCCAGCTGGACATTATGCTAGACAACAATTTGCCACTAATCAAGGGGGACCCCATCGACACACATGTTACAAAGCACTCATTTCAAAGCAGATTATCCTCAACAGTAAATTTATATCACATTTCTTAGTCCTGGTCAAAGACTCATTTACTCTTAAAATAATGATGTTACCACTAAGCTGAAAACTTTACTTGAGAAATGGCAACTCAGTATAATAGATCTAACTAATAATTTATGGCATTTGCTTTGGATATTACTTACATAATAAAAATATATTGCTGCTTTCAAATTTGGGGAAAGAAGATGTATTAAAACTATAGACAGTTGGAAATCTAAAGATGGACATTTTGTAACAAAGAGGGGAGTGATTAATTTATCAGTCTAGGAGCGGAGGACCCTGGGACCATCAATGGAGAAGAGCGAAGAGCGGAATCCTACCCAGAGAGGCAGTGAGGCCTGCGATGGAGGCAGAGAAGACAACGTCAAGAGATGGTGGGGCTGGGGACTCAGGATCAGGAGATGGAAAGGGGCTGAGGACTGTGGTGGTGGGGGGTGTGCAGGCTTACAGGGTACACCCTTTGGTTGGGTGAGGATGCATGGACAGGATGATAATTATGCCAACGAAATGATGGATGATGGAATGAATGTAAAGCTGATGTTCTCCCATGTACACTATCACACAATTCACAATAAAACATTAAAAAATATATAGATATAGACAAAAAATTTTAAGAGTAAACACTGAAAAAAATTTGGCCTTACCACTATTCTTTAAACATTCTTGAACTAGCAAGAGGACATCTGGTTGAGACATCTAGGAAACAAAGCAATGAATTCATCAAATAAGCGGAAAGTACTTTAGCTTCACTAAGATCACATATGGCTAGCTTCCCAAATCAGAAGGGAACACTGCTACCAGAGTTAAGAAACTAATCATGATGCTGTGTGTGAATATCACTTATAGACTGAGAGTTGAGCCCCCAAAAATGAATGAGTGTGGGCAGAAGAGACATACTGTAAGGTTAACTCCTGATTGGGGAATTCTGAGGTAATCAGCATCTTAGCTGATCCATCTCCAAGCTGGAGCTGGAAGTTGTCAACCTGCTAACATTACTTCTAGCTTAACCTACTCCAACAGACTGTTTACTAATCTCCTGCTTTACTCCTGCCTTTCTCTAGTCATTGCCCTGTCCACACAGGAACCAAAATCATTTAAAACCATGGTCATGACCCACCTTAAACCTACCCCTGCTCCCCCAAATCCTTATTATTGTATTTAGGTCAAAATTCAAAGTTCCTTACCATGGTCTACAGGATCCTGGGCCCTAGACCACCTCTCCATCCTAATCTCAAGCTTTCTTTCCCATGGTATACTTACTACCTTCCATTTAATGCCAGGAGTAGCCAAGCCTTTTAGTGATTGTAAATGCTGTTCCCTCTGCCAGAAACGCTCTTGCACCGTTCTCCTCCTGAGTCTGGATCCTTTACATCTTCTAGAGCTCAGTATAAATGTCACCTCCACAAAAAGGCCTTCATAACTGCTCTACGTTGCACATGCCATGTTATTTTCCAAAATTTTGCTTTTTTGCACAGCTCCCATTATACCAGGGGGCTTCAAAACCGTTTGTAGAACAATTCCATCATCTTTTAATCACATTTTCCAGAGACTTTTTGAAACCCCCTTGTAATTACTTATATACTTAATTATCTGCTTCCCTAGAATGAGCACTATGATGAAAGAATCATAAGTTTTGTTCCCCAGAATGGAGTACAGTGCCTAGAACAGAATGCAGGTTCAGTATATATTTGCTAAATAAACTAATAAGGCCAAACAAAAGTAATTTCTATGGTTGGCAAATCACTGATGAAATGGGGGCTGTGTTCCAGGAATCTGGGAACTACCCATGGACAAATGGAGGCAATCTACTAAAGTACCTTCTGGTTTTAAAATTCTGACTCAGAATCTTTTTGAAACATGTTTAAGCCAGAAATCTAGGCTAGGTGTGGTTTGAAAACAAAATTACTTTGAATAAAGTAGAAATGTAAAAGAGGAAATGAAAGAAGAAAGTAAGCTTTTTTATCATAAATGTTTATAAACTTATACCTAAACATAAATGTTTATATACCTATCTATACTGTTGAAAATCTGAAATCCTTCCCTGTCATTGGAAAGATTATTCTACCAAGAGAATTTATTCTTTTTAAGTTAACAGAACCCAGGACTCTATTAGACTCACATGGTTGAAACCAGTGTTTGAAGTTTTGCATAAAAGCAGATCAATCTGTAGAGAGTTTTTTTTTAAAGCTCTGAATTTGAAGGCAGAGACTCAGTTTGGGGAAAGAAAAATGTCAGAATTCTACTTAAAGTATCTTCGAGTATCTAAAATGCATTTATATGTAGCTCACATTTGAAAGAAATTTTCTCAAATCAGTCTGAAAATTCAGAAATGTACTTACAATGGCTGGAAATTGGATGTCTATGTTTACATCTGAATTTTTGAAACCAAATCGGCTACAAGATGACCCGTATAATCTCAAAGAACAATCTAAAAAGTAAATTTTAAAAAGGCATCTATTAAAGTCAAATTTCTCAAAAATAATAACCCAAACAACACTGTTCTTTCAAATTGGAATCATCAATTAAAACTACACACAAAGCAAAAGTATTCAAGTTAAGCATAAAGGACAGGAATGGGCAGCTCATTCTCTTGCCTTAATTTCATTTAACAAGGAAGGCTATGCTGATTACAGTTTAGCTTAACAGACACCCCTTTCATATCAGTTTCAAAACATGGTAAAACTTCTATTTTATCATGATCACATTTTATGCAGAAAATACTATCTGCATGGTGGTTTTTGTTTTTTTTTAAAATATGAAAGTTGAAACTTTCTTTTATAAACCATATTTGTTATATATAAGGGAACTTCAAAAACTTTGTGGAAAAATGGAATTAGAAAACAATGGAATTTTTTCATGAACTCTATGAACTGCCATATATATAAGTATAGATAAATATATATGTGTATACACACAGAGAGAGCTATAGCAATAAAAACATGATAAATGGGGAAGAGAATGAAGTGTCAAAGACTTCATTTTGCTTGAATCCATTATCAACATTCATGGAAACAGCAGTCAAGAAAATTAGGGGACTCTGATGTACAAGACCTCTTTAAAGTGTTCAAAAGTAAAGACATCAGTTTGAGAACTAAGGTATACCTGACCCAAGCCATGGTATTTTCAATAGCCTAATATTTATGGGAGTCCTGGTGGGGCACTGTGGATTAATGCGCCAGACTGCGAAGCCATTTGAACTGCAAAGTCGG